GTCTCTTGCAGACACAAAATGTCACATTGTTCCAGCAACTCATCAACAACAGTGCAGCGAGCTTTATCCTCCACGCTCTGACTTAAGCGCAGGCCACGACAGTTGTATGAAATTACTTTAAGATCCATAAATAGTTATTGCCTTGTGCTTGCATCAACACAAGGAGAGAGCTTTGCACAAGTAGAAAGAGCTGCATGAGCACCACTAACAGTTCTACGCAGTTCATAATAGAATCTCACAAGGGTACCCTCAGGCCATAACTCTGGATTGTACATGTCATCTACCACATTACACTCAGCAGATACTTTGAATGAAGCATACCTGGTGTTACCTGTAGCAATTTTGTGACACACAACATCATGCCCAAGTTTATCTTTTAAATGGGCCTCTAAGACTTCGGCTTCCGCATCAGGGGAAAATCTAAATGCAAAAACATTAACCAACTTAGTTTTGATCATCTTAATATTTCCAGCTGCTCCTGTGCCCATGACAGATTTGCCAGGTTTCCTCTGGCTGGCAAAAGTTGAACCTACACGAGAGGCAGGCTTACCAACAGCCGGCTTCTTTGGCTGATGTTGGCCCTGTTTTGCAGCCAAACTCCACATTGGTGATTCGGGTAGTGATGGTGTTTCTCCAGAGTGCTCCATTAAGGTAGCCCTGACCGCATCAGAAGGAGCCTAACCCTCAGACCTTGTAGGACCACAAACCATGTCCAACTGCTCATCTGTCAAAGGATTAGCGTTGTTAGGCTCCGCTGAGTCCAACCTCACGCCACCATAGTCTGCACATGATGCCAGCACACACACCCGCCTGTTTATATCCACCGCAACAACCTGCAGCCTGTCGCTAGCATCGGCTTGCAGGTGAGCAGCTTGCTTCATGGCAGTAACTTCAGAGAGAAGAAGCTCCATTTTGCGGAGCAGGCCATGTTGGTAATAGTCACTGGCGGCAGTTCATCCAAATAGTGAGACACAAATCTAGGGATATCCTCCCCACACTCTCTCAATACTTTAAGGCATGCTTTAACGTTTATCTTTATGCACTCCCTTATAAGAAACATTACGCTGAGTAGTGACGCAGACTTCAAAAAGCGTCTTCTTTTAGGCCTCAATCCATTCAGTATCAAAGGTGTTGACGGCCAACAAAACAATCTCGTCCTGACTTAATGTTCTGAATTTTACAGAGAGGAAGTGCAAAAACTCCTCTACTATAATTTTACTATCAATGGTTGTATAAACTTCAGGTTTTAATTAACCCTTGGCAAACACGGGAGCTCAAGGGACACGTGCACCCAATGCGTCAGCTATAGTGAAATGTCAGTTAACGTGTGTTCATACATAAAATGGTCACTAGATGTCACCAAATTGTAACACATAACAGTTTGTCTTAATACTCTGCTGGCATGCTGATTTTGTTTTTACAGGACAATCTCAGTCTGGGTTAAGGTGTGCTGATCAGGGTTTTTGTTTTATAGTAGATTCACTCTGCTTAAAGAAATAGAACCTGCACCACAGGTTTTCCAATAATAGATACAGTCAGGGAAAAAATTATTTGAACCCCAGCTGATTTTGTAAGTTTGCCCACGAACAAAGAAATAATCAGTCTACAATTTCAATGATAGGTTGATTTGAACAGTGAGAGACACAACAATAACAAAAAAAATCCAGAAAAATGCATTACAAAAAAAGTTATAAAGTAATTTGCATTTTCATGAATGAAATAAGTATTTGATCCCTTTGCAAAATGTGCTTTAGTACTTGGTGGCAAAACCTTTGTTGGCAATCACAGAGGTCAGACGTTTCTGTTAGTGGGCAAACTTACAAAGGTTCGGGCCCCACCTGGGACCTTTCTGTGTGGAGTTTGCATGTTCTCCCCGTGCTTGCGTGGGTTCTCTCCGGGTACTCCGGCTTCCTCCCACAGTCCAAAGACATGCAGCTTAGGTTGATTGGTGTCTCTAAAATTGCCCATAGGAGTGCATGTGCGTGCGTGTGCGTGTGTGTGTGTGTGTGTGTGTGGTTGTTTGTCTATGTGTTAGCCCTGCGATGGACGGGCGACCTGTCCAGGGTGTACCCCGCCTTTGCCCGATTGCCGGCCGGGATTGGCTCCGGCCCCCCCCGTGACCCCGCTCAGGGATCAAGTGGTAGAAAATGAATGAATGAATTTGTAGGGTGTTGGTTGAGTGTTCGTGTGTATATGCTGGTAAAGGGAGCTTAGAGAAAATCCTCTCATTTTCTCCAAATACAAAGTACTGACGTTAAGGCATATTTTTTGTCACAGATAAAGAGGGAGGGGTGGTAGTAAGGGGGTAGGGCGTTTATCTGTCTTTGCCTTCTTAAATTGTCCTGTGGGTAGGGGTGACTGCAGTTTCTTTAATGGTTTAGAAAGTGAATCTTGTTAATTGTATATTAGGACAAGTTCATGTGCTCTGTGTCAACTGATAATTTGGTGTTTAGAAGTGCAGGATGTTGATGTTGAATAACTTGTGTTCTCACTGTTACTCCAGAACTTCAATATTTCACCACTTATTGCCACTACATGATCATAACATAAATGCCATTCATAGTTTAGAGGTAAAAATTTGCATGATCATTATTTGATATTTTATAATGCTAGGAGTAAATGCAGGAAGCCACAGAGGGACACATTATTCTTAGGAGCTTGCTGGCTGTGAGTCCTGTCCAGTCAGATATGGACTAACTATAGTGCTGCAGTGCTTGTATCCTCATCGATATATTTTATGTGATCAGTTGTTACACTGGCAATTATTAGTCTATAATTTTTATTACAGATATTACAATTTCTATTACATTGTACTGTCTAGTTACAAATGCAAAGTTAATAGACTGCAAAGCAAACACATGGGGTGTTTGCTTTACAGTCTATTGACTAAAGTGTGCTTTGAGTTTTGGCCCCCTGTGCAATTTAGTTTGACACCCCTGTGATACATGATGTCCACCTGGCATAAGCAATGAATACATGCTGTGAGATAAATGCCAGTCCACTGGATTGGATTTTACACTGACCAGAAACACAGAGGGCCATCCACAGCATACTGCATATACAGTATACCTACACTGAAAGTCTGAATATAACACTGTAGCTATAGCTCTTGGCATTTTACTTATTTACAAATAGTACCTTGTTTTGTCACATATCAGGGCAGTGATACAGAGACAACTGCCGTTCCTTAGAACCTTCTTGCTGAGGCAGCAGTGCTACTATACCATCAATATTTTCAGTCCCATCCTATTAGTTTTGTTTGGGACTTTTAGGGACCAGGAAGTGTAAAGTGCCATGCATGAAAGAAAAAAAAGAGAAAAAAAACTTAAATGAGTTAAAATTTTCTTAGTTTTGTTTTAACACTTTTTAATTTTCCTCTTCATCTATTACTAAAACTTCACTGACTATAGGGGCAGTCTTCATGTTGTTCAGAACATTTTGCAGGGTGCTCCCGAAAATAAGAAAAGTGCGACTAGGAGTTGATGCAATTAGAGGAACAATGACAGGAAGCAAGAGATGGGAATAAAGTTAGCAACAGAGTTGGTCAGGTGTGTGTTCGTAAAGACCTGGGGACAAGAGAAGATTTGGCAGACTACCTGACTTCCTCTGCAGAGTGACAAAGACTAAAAACTAACAAGGTGTGTCCTGCCCTCAATCTTATTTCAATAATATTGTTCAATAAATTATTCTTGGCACTGCAGTAATTTTCTCTGTGCATTACTCTGTGCATACCCACAACAATGGTCATGTAATCATTGTAATTAATATAATTTTTTATTGCATTTTAAATTAGTGATCACATATAAATGGTGTGTGGTTGAAATTCTTTACATCTTTATATGCTATATGGGTTTTCAGTCACAGGTTAAACAAAAACATTTTCTATTCAAACATACTACATTTGTAACATTTTATACAAAAGTTTAATAGCATAGTATATTATATATTTATTACATATAACAGTATAATTATTACAAAACCTGAGCTTCAACATAAATTATATTAAAACATACAAAATCAAGGACTGAAGTCTAATCTCAAAATTAAGCAAACATTTTTGGTGACTGTATTTGCTTCTTGACATTCTGTGCACTTTTGTGCTTTTTTTTAAATCAAGTATCTCAATTAATAAAACTGAAGACTGGTTTAATATTAATACCAATAATATTAATACTGCTTGTTAATATATAGTTTGGCCAATTTTATGTGATTTGAGATTATTTTAACTTTTTTCTGCTAAAATTCTGGATTATGTCATTTAAAACAGGTAAGGGTCTATTACAGATGTCCAGTTTGTCACAACATTCTCGAGTGCATAGTCATACAGGTGAAAAGTAAATACTCCAATATTTCTATATCAATGTACATTTATGTCCCATTTAAAGTTCAGAAGGCTGTTCATAGGAAAGAATGGGGCCTGCTTGTTCGCTCGAGGTCATAATCGCAGTTGTCAGTTTCCGAGACGTTTCAGGCCAATCGTATTGTGCGCATGCGCGTTAGCTCAGCACTGCAGAGGGAGTCCCAGAGCTGTGAAAGGTTCGTGTGTAAGGTGTGTATAGAAATGTGAGTCTGGGTTTTTGTAAAGCACTTTGTACACAGGGCTCTAGCTGATGCTTGTCTCCTTGTTTTGTAAGTGCTTATACTGTCTCTGTGTCCTATCCATGTAACTCCACAGCTCATTAAGTAATGGCTCGAAAGCGATGAAGGACGCGGTCTGACCCATTGAGGACATTAAGTTACTCAAATCGCCATGGCCTCTTTAACCGCTAACTCGACGACTCGGGGCATCCAGAAGCATCAGAAGTCCTTCTCACTGCTCTTCTACCGGGCTGTGCGGGACCTGAAGCCTGTCTGGATGCTTGAGGACATGCGCACGATGGAGACATTTTACCAGGAGGAGGACGCGAGCCAGAGGATTTATACACCATCGGAGGCGTTGCTCTACGCAATAGTTCACGACCACCAAGCCTATGCCCAGTATCTGCTAAGTCGCTACAGCGAGGAAGCGCTAGCAAAGCCCGGTGAGTGCTTCTGCTGCTGCCCGTCCTCCGCCCCACACTTGGCCATGGCGGTCCGTTATGATAGGCGCTACATTCTCGGTCTCATCTTACAGGAGACTCATCGGCTACACAGCACAGACCAAGCCGGGTGTTTTCACATGGAGGACGGCAGAACCCCTTTACATCTGGCTTGCGAGTTTCTGCGGCCAGAGGCTGTCATCATGTTGCTGGGGAACGGAGCGTCCCCGAACGCCCAGGATCACAACGACTTAACTCCGCTGGATGTGATACTGGAGAAACTCAGGGACTGTAAGGAGGTGAACGGCGGGGAGAGGAGGCAGTGCCTGGACAACCTACTAATGTTCATGCCAAAAGTTCGTTTTAAAATGAAAGGAGCTCTGGGCAGAGAGCCGGAGCGCTGGGGGAAGGTGCTGGGTGAAGACACGTACAAGTACCTAGCGGGAAAGAGCCCTGCGCCGCTGGTCCTCGCAGCTATGCAGACAGTTCTAAAGCAGCTGAGCCCTGCGACCTTCCCGGATAGTCTGAATGAGCTGCCCATCCCCTCCGCCCTCAAACCGCCGGGCCTGCCTGTGACCCGGCGGGACATGCGGAGGGTGGTGTAGCATCAGTGTGACTACTTCAGCTTGATGTGCGCGTGTCTGAACAGCATGTACGGCTATAAAGCGGTAACATGTTATTATGGGGCTGAGGGCTCCATAAGTAAACCCTACTGGTCACGGGAACAAATAAGAGAATGTAATGTGATTTTAATCACAGTGTTCCTGGTGATGTTGTTCACTGGAGTTTGATTGGACCATAGAGGCAATTTGCAAGGCAGCCAGCAGTGGGAAGACGAGACATATGCTTTAACGTTTTACACTAATTGGACATTATTATTCAGTTTATTTGTCTAACCTCATTCTAAAGTGTTGCCGAATAATACTACTGCTATTTAAGTGAGTGGATCATCAGAGGATTAGAACAGTCAATGACAGCCTATTTCATCTGTGGCACTGTTGATTTTAAGTTATTTGGATTGTATTTATAAGTAATGTTAAACAAAGTGATCTTATAGGTTACATCAAAATAGTGAGGTGACTTGAAACTCTTTGGACGCCAGATTATTTTTAAATAAATAGGAATCCAAGTGATGATGATCTTACTGTGCCTTTCTTGACTCCACAAAGAGATATCTGCTGGTTCTCACAGCCAACAGCAATTTGGCAGTGAGTGACTAATGATAAGACAGAAACACTGGGGAAATGTTGAGTCTGAAAGCTTCTTGATGAGTCAAATTCCTGACTTGAAAAATTCCTTATTTGACCTGGGTGATTTGATGGGGGTTAGAGAGGCTGACTGTGTTGCCTCATAATCTCATCATCTGCAGCATCTGAGTCATAACAGCCCCAAGTAACATCTGCATTGTAGTAAGAAATCTCTTCCCTTTTCAGAGTAGGTTGATAGTCAACTAGAAAATTATCAGTGAGGTAAACGATGTAAATGCTCAGTGGAGATAAGATTACTGACACACACAATGCCATGGTGGACAAACACAGTCACCACTGAAAAACAGCCTTTAACATTATAACAATGTAATTAATCTGCACAAACAAGCAAACAAAGAAGTCATTTGACAGTCATCACTTAATTGACTTCAGGTATTAAATAGTCAGTTGGTTGACAATGACAATTTTCCTAGATTCAGTACAATTTTAAGGATGACCAAGAATTTTAAAGATTCATAAGAAGTTCAATTTTAATTGCAGATTACACTGAAGAAGAACATGTTCACGATGAAACAAAGCATATGCACGCCTGTCCTTTCTTTGACTAACCATCAAATGTTTTCTTTCTGGAGTTAAATGGTCTTATACTTGTATAGCGCTTTTCAGTATGCTCATAGCGCTTTCACATTACTTGGTACCCATTCACACGCTCAGATGCTCACACATTTACACACCGATGTCATCACCAGGAGCAACTGGGGGTTCAGTGTCTTGCTCAAAGACACTTTTGACATGTTGACTGGACAAGCCAGGAATCAAACCGCTAATCCTCCAGTTCGGAGACAACCTGCTCTACCTCCTGAGCCACTGCTGAAAGAGCTAAAAAGAATATTTATCAGTGGGCTTTGAGTAACAACTTGGCTTTTCATTGAAAAGACATATTTCCCACGCTGTGTAACTATGAACATGGTCCGGTGTTTCAGTTAAGTTTTATGCTGAATAAAATAGTACTTGTTTTTCATGTGATGAAAACAAAATCTTTTTTTAGCTTGTTCATTCTAAGAACTTGCTGGACATACTGAACATTCTGAGATTTCCACTTCACTTTTGTGGGTTTTAAAACTGTGTGACTGAACAAAATGTAAATAGTGAAAATAGGCCTCTTGTTAAACAACAATTCAAAAATTACATTTAACAACATTTTAAAATGAAAGCTTTTCAGTCACAAAGTGGAAAAAAGTATGTCATTGATATCAGGTTTAATTTTGTCAGCAAAAATATAGAGCTTAAAAATGACACTTTTTTCTCAGGCGATGACGTACAATTGTACAAATATAGCAAGAAGCATAATTCTCTGATAGGAATTTTCAAGCCCATATTTTATTTTCTCACAGCAGTTTATGTACTTGTTGCTTTCACACAGAGGTAAAAAAATGCCATTTTGTGTAGTTAACTATTACAAATACAAACAATTTTGGATCATTAAAAACGGGATTATTTTGTATTTTAGTTTTGCCATGATGCATGTGTAAATTGTTTATTTAGGACATGTTCAGGTTTCAGTTGAGTGGCATTTTTGCTGGTGTGAGTTTTTTGCATTATATTTTGTTAGAATTGTGCACTGAGTGGATGGATATTTTTAATTTGGTTTGAGAGAACTGCCATGGCTGCCATCCATCAATATTGTATCATCATATCACTTTGCCATATAACCTGGGTATTAAAAAAACATCAGTACCAGTGTTTTGCCTGGTTAGTGGGTTGGTTTGCCTGTTCTGTCTGAGTTTGTATGGAATTCTTCCCAAGGTCCAGACATGCAGTGGAAAAGAATTTTGGACCTTTTGCAGAACAAATGTGTGGACAGCATTTTAAAGAAACCCCATCCAAAAGGGACTTGAGAACAGTCAAACCAGTCCCAGCCAGAGGAACATTCTTGGACTGGCATCTGACCACTACTACTACTGCTTTTTAATATGCCCCTTCTTTTTGTATACTACGCATTAAAAACAACGGGACTTAATTGAAATATTATCCCTATTTCCATTTCATTTCATCAATATTGTTGAAAGGAAATTAGGGATAGGCTAATGACTTTTTTAATCAAGTATTTGTAGGATGCTGCTGCACCTACATTTTTGTGCAAATGAAGTCACAATACACTTGCAACAGTAAATCACATCAGCAGACATGAATTATATACTCACATCCATATGATTATACATTACTGTAGTAAATCACATCTTGACTGCACCCTATATTTGGCAACACAAAGTTGTCACTCGTCACAAAAACTGTATTTAAGTGCTTTTATTGGTTGAAAGCTGGAATTACAATTTCTTTTTGTTCATGCTACAGAGAGTGTCTGAATCCAGTCCAAACATTTGTGCCACAACAGATCAAAAGGCCTACCAATAAATCAGAATAGGACCAGTAAGGCGAGGTGTAGGAGGTAGGACCCAAAAATGCAGACTCACTGGGCTGAAACAAGAAAGGTGTTTATTGAATGTTGTGGTAGGTAGGACCTGATGCAAGCTAAATTAATTCACAGACGAATCACTAAAATGCCAATGATCATTTAATATTACAATAATTCGACAGTTCAGTATTGGCCAGACAATTCAACAGACTAAGAGATAGGGGACAGAATCACCATTCCTGCAGGAAATAAATGCAGTATTAGACAAGAAGATAGTCACAGAGTCAGTCAGTCTTTTAGGTCATAAGCACAGTCAAGTCTACCACATCCTCCCGGCCGGGGTCTCACTCATATGTCCTTCTTCTGCACGCACACACACTACACTCCTCTACTGCAGCAGCATACTGCCTCCTTTTGTACACAGCTCACTTTTGGCTCCCCTGCCAATTCCTGAACCTAGTTAAAAGGTCATCTCCCAATCAAGATGATCCAATGGGTTAAACAAACAGGCCATGAACCCAAAATGTTCTTGCTTCAATACACACAAACTATTTACCCAGTGAGCTGACATATTACAGAGGGCTTGCAGAAATTAGTTATTAACTGATTACTGCATATAGTAACTACATGTAATCTACACACTCTCACTGTACATATTGTATATTAACTGTAGCTTGTTTGTTGTAACCACTACAATGTGAAAAGTGAGTTTACTGGGTGGAAGAGAGGGGACAGAGGCAGAGCAGGTTCTGGATGGGACAGACAGGCAGAGAAGTGTGGAGCTGGGGATGAAGGCTGGTTGGCGTGGAGGTGAGTGGACAAGAACTGGACAGGAACCAGGGAGAAAGGTGGAGTAGTAGACAGGAGAAGTGCGGGTGGTCACGTAGCCGGTGGGCTGGAGAAATAGCAGCAGGCACAACTGGTCAGGAATTCTCACTCGCATCTCTGATACTCACAGGTGCACAGACTGAGAAGAGCAGGTGACAGCATAGCTGGTCTCTCCGCTCAGTTGCTCACAAACTTCTACAGAGTGACAGTAGAAAGCATCCTCTGTCTCAGTGCGACAGTGTGGTACAGGAGCTGCACTGCACAGGACAGAAAGGATTTGACCCGGGTGGTGAGAACAGCTCAGGGCATTGTAGGGAGTCCTCTTCTGGATCTGGACTCACTATACACTGACTGCATCCAGAGGAGGGCTGGACGGATTGCTGCAGACCCCACCCACCCAGGCAACAGTCTGTTTGTGCCTCTCCCCTCCAGGAAAAGGTACAGGAATATAAAGACTACAACAAACAGACTGAGACACAGCTTCTTCCCCAGAGCTGTGAAATCAATCACCCCCCTAACCCCTAGTTACACACACACAACCTCCCCCCTACGGACAGATATAGATAGAATACTGGACTCCTGCAGATGCACACACGCTCACTCTTCTTCTTAAAGACTGAGATTTGCACTGAGCTGTACTTTAGAATGTTACTATATTCTTTTGTTGCTAATATGCTGTTGACCTGATTAGGTCCCATACATTTTCATTTTTATCTGTTCATATTTTTATATTGACTTATACAATTTTTGTGTTATTTATGTAAATAATGTGTCTTTTAAGCCAAGAGCTGCTGGAAGAAATTTCGTTGTGCTATGCATAATGACAATAAAGATTCTTGACTCTTGCAAACTTTGAAAAAAGTCATTCGGCATATCAGGTTCTGGTGCGTAGAGCCAGGAGTGTCTGGAAGAATTTCCACAATGGGGCCAGGTACGTAACGGATCAACCGGCATGAGACAGAGGGAAGGAAGGAGTATATGGAAACACCAGCAACCAAGGGATAATGAAGGACAGGTGATTACAATGAATGGTGATTGAGACTGAAGTAAAGCTGGAGCAGGTGAGGTGAAACGGAATTGAAAGAAAAACCCAAAATAAAGGCATGGGATCAGAAGGCAAGAGCAAACCATAGCAAGGACATTAAGAGAAACATCTGGGAAGCTTGCGCTGCTTTCGTTACTTCTATACTACAGATGTATTCAAAGATTTTGGAACTGATCCAGTAAAGATCGATGGAAAACCAACCTGATCACAATATGCAAAAATAAATAAATAAATAAATAAATAAAACAAAATCAGAAAATCAAGATGTTATCCAGCAGGGATCTGAGGCCATTCAGACCCTCTTTAAAATATATTCGGAGATAATTATAAACAATCCACTCAGAGGGGGGTCTCACCCGGGGAGTAATTCAATGTAGAACCGCCACTGCCTCTGACAGCCAGGTCCGCTCAATTGTCCAACCACTGATACTGTTCTACCAAGACTGACTAACAAAAAAAGACTATTAACAATTCCAATGAGTCTATTATCACCAACACCCATACAAGTTCTATATGGGTGTAGGAGCAAAGGCAAGTCTACAGGGTAATCAGGTGGGCCCCCTCTCACTAACTGGTGTTTCATTGAGATAGGATCAATGTATTTAGTCAGCAGTGACTAATAAAGTATACCTAGCAGAAATAATAAAATACAATTAAAAAAAAACTGCAATGATCATACTTTTATAGTATGTTCATATACATTATCACTATAAAATAATTAGAGGGGACATGCTCAACTTACTGTAGTGGCAATTTTATGGTAGCACCCTTTAAGTTTATTGGCAGTGGCTTTGAAGTCATGCTATGCAGGTGTGTGGTTGTGACCCCAGACTGTTTATTGTGTCAGCATGTTCATAAAGATTTCCTGCCTTTATGTGACCTGAGACCAGAGGGCTAGTATCCTGTTGTAAATGGTATCCTGTTTTCTTGATCTGTTGGAGCATCTGTTTTCTGTTATTGCATGCTGAGTATAAGAAGGGCAGACACATTCTGTTCACTGAGCTTCTCTCCGTCAGACTGCCTGGACATTCTGAGTAGAGATCGCTCCTTCCTGCAGGAATAAATATGTAATAACTCTCAGAGTTAATAATGAGTATTTATTTTACACTCACTGAGCTTTAATAGATAGTTTTGCCACAACACTTACTCATATACATTTTCTAATTTTTATATTGTGAGAGGAGTATGATTAAGTGTGTAGAGCAAGTAAGAGAGGGGAGGCTAATGGCTGATATATAACACTGATATCATGTGGTTGTTTTAAAAAAAAAAAAAACTAAACAATTTATAATAACAAATGAGATGAGTTTCTGAACTTAAATGAACACTTATTTAACACAAATGAAAATTTAAAATGACAATTGTCTTTGTTAGACTCTATACTTCCCTTATTTAAAAAGTCCATAAGCAATCACATAACAAACTGATAAAAAGAAAAAATACAGAGAAGGCTGGTCTGCAATTGTGTCTGCATACATGTTTTGTTAATACAATTTTCTAAAAA